AAAGCCTAAGAGCATAAACAAGATTTGGGAGAATAAGCAGTCCGAGTGATTTTGTCTTATCTCCAAAATCAGACGAAACTTTCTCAGATTGGGGGGGGGGGGAGGAAGAGACGCAAGAGAGTGTAGATAGGATAATATCCCTGAGAAAGGACCTGTGCCCTGCATTTCATCTAGGCCATCAGCCTGGGAGTAGAGACAGGAAGTGAAAGAATTCACACACAGGGGGCCTAAATCTTACACAAATAAGGTGGCAAGAGCCCAGCGTTGTGGCTTTAAGCAGCATGGCCCTGGGCTGTAAGACAGAAATGGTCAGATGGGTCACTGGGGAACATGGCCTCAGTTAGCTCCACTGTATATCCAGAGGCCCCAAGGAGTCATGAGACAGAGCACTGTCACGTTTCCTGTGCCCTTGGGAGGAGTGGGGAAATAACTGAAAGACAGCTGGACATGGAAAGGCTTATGGACAAGGGGCAGGGATGCCCAAGTAACACTAATGTGGACAGAGAACCAGGACCAGACAGATGAGGTGCATCTCATCAGAGGATGGATGAGCCAAGGCCAGGGTTTTCTGAGAGCTGACTGCTGTTTCAAGAGTCCCTAAGGAGCACCTGGAGGGCTCAGTAGGTTAAGTGACTGACTTCCTCTCAGGTCATGATCTCCCTATTCGTGGGTTTGAGCCCCACGTCAGGCTCTGTGCTGACAGCTCAGGGCCTGGAGCCTGCTTCTGATTCTGTGTCTCCCTCTCTCTCTGCCCCTCCCCTGCTCACACTGTCTCTCTCTCTCTCTCTCTCTCTCTCAAAAATAAATAAAACATTAAAAAAAAAAAAGTCCTAGAATATATATGCAACGTGGAGAGAAAAAGATGAAAAGGGAAGCAAATAGAAATTAGGCTGTTTGAGCAATAGAAAGGAATGTAGGTTTCTTGTATTCTTGCAATGGAATTTAATCTCATGAGCTTCCTATCCTCTGTATGATCAAAAGAGTAGCAAGGGTCTTGAACCTGCTTACAGTTCTGGATGATTTCAGAAAGTTTTGTTTGGTTGATCTTAGAAGCATGTATCTTACCCAGTAACAAAAAAATAAGTCAATACATGTCACTTTGGTGTGTCTCTAGTGGCCAGTCTGGCCAATCCTAGCGAGACCTGAGTAATTTCTCTCTCTCTCTCTCTCTCTCTCTCTCTCTCTCTCGACCACTGCCCCTCCATTTGCACCAGTGTCTGCTCTCTTTGCGCCTGTTCCACATCCAGTGCTGGTGCGTTTCTTTTAATAGCCTCAACTTTTTTAAAGAATTTTTTCAAACAATCAAAAAGTTTGAAATGCTAGGACAGTGCACACTGTATTCACAGATTTAACAATTCACATTCTGCTATATTTGTTTTACATCTTTCTCTACATGAACACACTTTTTTTTCTGAAATGTTTGAAAATAGACTTCAGACAGCATAATTACTTTCACCCTTAAGTTCTTCAAAATGAAAGCCTTCTGTTACATCAGTGTAATAGCATTAACGTTCCTAAGAATATTAACAAAATCCTGGCTATATCTAATATTCAGTCCATATTCCGATTTCCCCACACATGCCAAGGATATATGTTTGAGCTCTCTTTTTCCTCTAAAGAAGAATTCAACCTACGCTCATACATTGTATGTGCTGTTACATCTTTTCAGTTTCTTTTAGAGAACAGTTCCCTCTACACACCCATCTTTTTTTTTATTTTTGTTTTTAGTTTTTAAAAAGTCCAAACCATTTTATCCATAAAACGTTCCACATTCCAAATCTGCTTAATTGCTTCCTCGTTGTATTGTGTAATATGTTCTTCTACCTCTTGTATTTCCTATGAATTGAAATTTAGGTCTATAGGCTTGATTAGATTCAGGGCAAACCTTGTGGCAAGAATAGGTCATCAGTGACATTGTATATTTCATGTTGTTTCTCAGGAGGATTGACACAATGTCACACTGGCCCTCATCTGAGCCCTTGATTGTTAAGGTGGTTACAATCAGATCTCTACTCTACAGACCCGTTTTCCCCTCTGCAGTAAGTCAGTCATCTGGGAGGTTATTTTTCATCTTTCCTAACTCCGTCCTTCTTTCTTTCACTGTTTAGTTCCTAACCTGTTGCTCACCTCAAGGAAGTTATATTATCTCCCTGAAACTTTCCCCCCATCCATTAACTAAACACAAACATAAAGTTATTGTAAGCGTTCAGGGAGGCGCAAAGGGTGTGAAACAGTTTTGTAAACTGCAAAGTATTTTGCAATTGTGAGTTATTCTTATTCCAGTAAAGAAATGGTTTCAGATAGTGCTGTGAGTCGCCCACTCATTCAGGGAAAGCAGTGGTGTTCTGGTATCTGCTCACCAGCCAGCTCTTCAAATAGAAAAGCCCTGATGTTTAAATTTTGCCACTTTCTGCGGTGTTAATACTCCAATCCTGTCCGATTTCAAGCTACCAACTTGATGTCAACCAGGCTGCAAAATTCCAGAATATTGAACAATTGGCTCTTTCGAGCTTGAACAGCCCAGTTCCACACACCACTGAGGGGATGACAGAGGGAGGGTTGCCAGATTCAGAAAATAAAAATACAGCCAATATTTGGGACGTATGTATACTAAACAAGTTTCTGTTGTATCTGAATTCAAATTTCGCCAGGTGTCCTGTATTTTATCCGGCACACCCTATGTGGTGTGTGTGCGTGTTTGTGTATGCGTGTGTGTGTGTGTGTGTGCGTATGTGCACACATGTGTGAAGTATAAGTGAGGTACCTTAAAGACAGATTTCCATATTCACCCTCTCCCAACAATCTCAACCACAGAGGCTCTTCATGTATTTGGTTTATTTGCATTTTTTCCTTCCCTTCTTTTCTTCATTTTCTTTGGTTTTGTCAGAGAAATGCTACACCAGAATTTCCCCAATTTATGCTCTGCCTTAGTACGGAGTCTTCAGGACAAAAAAGGAGGTTTTAAGACGAACAATTAAGAAGTTTCTCTAAGTAATAAAATGAACAATATTTTAAGATTCTAAATCATTTCAAGAAGACTTTACTTGGACCAAACTCAATTCCAACACTTTCCAAAACATAGGTAACTAAACACAAATCAATCATCATTACTAAAAAAAAATCTAGAAATTAGAATTTGCTTTAGAGCACGTGTGAGAAAATGGTTAATAAACCTCTGTTAGTTACAATGGCCCCCTTACAGATAATAAGCTTTAGTGGCAATTTAGGTGAAGCAGTTCCTTTCGAGATTATGCATGTGTAAAATAAGCTGAACACCTGAGTGTGTCTCCACCTGCCACACTGGGGTAGGATATCCTCTGCCCAGATATTTATGTTAAAGAATATATATGAAATTGGGGCACGTGGGTGGCTCAGTCGGTTAAGTGCCTGACTTTATTTAGCTCAGGTCATGATCTCCCGGTCTGTGGGTTCAAGCCCCTCATTGGGCTCTGTGCTGACAGCTCAGAGTCTGTGTCTCCCCCCCCCCCTCCTCCACTAGTACTCGATCTCTCTCTCTCTCTCTCAAAAATAAACATTAAAAAACACTAAAAAATATATATGAAATATATATCATATATATAAATATTATTCATCTTCATAGGGGGGAGAATAGGAAGAAAAGGTATGTTTGTTGTTGTTTTGTGGTCTGACTGGGCTCACTCCCCCCAGGAAAACATGCACTTGATCGTATGACTTACTAAGGCATTTGTATCCGTTTACTAGGGCCTCCTTTACAAGATACCGCAGACTGGGGGGCTTAAACGGTGGAGATAAATTTTCTCACAGCTCTGGAGGCTAGACAGCCAGGATGAGGGTGTCAGCAGGTCGGGTTTCTTCTCAGCGTGTGCATGGCCTGTGTCTTGTGTGAGCTCCCGTCTGGTGTCTCTTTGTGTGTCCTGATCTCTTCTTCTTTTTCTCCTCCTCCTCCTCCTCCTCCTCCTCTTCCTCTTCTCCTTCTCCTCCTTCTTTTAATGATTTACTTTTGAGAGGCAGAGTGAGACAGACCATGATGGGGGAGGGGCAGAAAGAGCGAGGGAGACAGCACCCGAAGCAGGGCTCCAGACTCTGAGCTGTCCGCACAGAGCCCGGCGTGGGGCTCGAACTCACAGACCGTGAGATCATGACCTGAAGTCGGACGCTCAACGGACTGAGCCACCCAGGCGCCCCCCTAATCTCTTCTTCTTACAAGGACACCAGTCATAGTGTATTGGGGCCCACTCTGCTGGCCTCCTTTTAACTTCATCACTTGTGCAGAGGTCCCATCTGCAAATACAGTCACATTCTGAGCTTCTGGGGGTTAGGACTTCAACGTATGAATTTTTGGGGGGGGGGGTGGAGTGGGCACAGAATTCAGTCCATAACAACATGCTTCCCTATAGTCATTCTAAGGAGATTAGAGGTGTATGTTTTTAATTCTTTCTTCCCAGGAAAAGAGTCCACCATTCAACGATTTGAGTCAACACACACACAGCCCAGATGCACAAAGCCCTCCAGCCACTCCCCGCCTTGCTCAACACACAGTCTTCATCACCTCCTCTAAGGCTGCGCTGCACCTGCTCTCCCCAGCCTCCCCTACGCTCCCGTGATCTCCCTGCTCCAGTGCCCGGGCCACGGCACGGGCCTCCCACCTGAGGGTCTGTGCACTCGCACCCCCGCTTTGTGCAGTGCTCCTTCCGCACTCCCTCCCTCCTTCGGTTCTTCCTCCTTGAAATGTCAGCTTCTCCCGAGAAGGTCCCCGACCAACCTTCTCATTGATAGTCCTCTGTCCTGATCTTCCCTAAATTTTTTTTTTTTTTCTTTTTCTCTAGCGTTTACCAATATACTTGATATTTTATTGGTTGGTCCTATTTGGAAGAATACAATCAGTGGTCAGGAGCACAGGCCTTGGAGGCAGCGGGCGTTCGTCAGGGACGGCTACGCTACCCTCCCAGGGTTGGTCTTGGGCAACGCTCTTAGCCATGTTGAGCCTCAGGCGACCGTGAGAAACTGAAATTCATTACCTTCTGAACGGGGTGGCCAGGCGACAGCAGCGGGATTCAGGTTTTGTAGTTCGGGGTTCAAATCCGGGCTGAGACAAGGTGTTGCAACTGACTGACCGGGTCTGCTCTGGAAAGAACGGTGGGGGGCTGTCACAACTGCGGGCGGAGGCCCGGATGCCGTGGGTCGGCCTCTTTAGGGTCCTGGGTCACGTCATGCTTCTCTGTTTCCTTTTTCCCGCCGCTGCGCGCAGATCATCTTTGAGACCAGTTGTCACAGGAAGTGGTCACGACTTAGGTCGCCTCTGCGAATGTTAGCGCTGAAAAGAAAAAAAAAAAATTGAAAATTAAAAAAATACAACCGGAAGCAATTGAAAAACCAAGAATGAATCGCCGCTGGCTTGAATGCCTGTTTGGCCATCTACTTTGTTTTGTAATTTCACTGTCCGTTTTCGCCCTGCGTTTTCAGAAGCTTCTTAGAAAAGCGTCGGAAGGGGGCGTGAAATGATCTGGCAAAGCGGTGGCCCCTCATCCCCCGGCGACCCGGGGCCAAGCCCCCGGGGGTCGCCCGCCCCGCCGACGGTGTACGTTCCCCGACGGCCCACCCGGGACCGAGTCCCGCCGGCAGTGAGGCGCGGCCGCCGACTCACCACAGGGACGCCTCACAGAACCGTGAGGACGACAGGCTGTGGTGGAAGCGCCGGCCTCGCCGCCCGGGGCTCACGCCGTCGGTGACGGCGGGAGACGACACAGCGCCCCCGCCAGGAGACACCCGAGCTGGGCGCGTGCGCATCACGAGGAAGCCAGGGCGGCGCTCACGCCCGACGGGAGGAGAGGCGGGCGGCTGACCTCTGACCCGAGGAGGGTGACGTGACGTGGCGTCGGGACGCCCGATAGGCCGCGTCAACCTCGGGCGCGAGGGGGGCTGCCCGCGTTGCGACTCGTGGTAGCTGCGTCGGCGGTGCCCCCTGCCGGATGCCGCTGACCTGAGCCGCGTGACTCAAGGTAGGCTGTGGTGACGGGCGCCCGGGACGTGTGACGTGACGGAGGGAGACCCAGCAGCCCACCCCGGCTGTGGGAGACCTGGGGGGAGGGGGAGGGGGACCCGACGCGCGCCTGGGGGACGGGGCGCCCTTCCGCTCGGAGAGGGAGGCTCGGCGGAGGTGATGTCAGAGGGCTGGACGTGCAGCCTTCCGGTCCAGTCCCTCCCGGCCCCCTGCGGCGAGCGTCCCCTGCCTGCTCAGAGGTTGAGGGGCTGTGTCCCTGGCGGTGGTCCCTATCCCCTGCTGCCCCGCGCCCCCCAGCGCGCCGGGAGTGGGGCCTACACCGCGCTCTGGGAGACCTGGGCGGGGCCACGCCTGAGTTTATAACCCAGCAAACCGCCGCCATCTGACTTGGAGGAGCACGGCTGACCGGGCCCACCCTCTGGGCGCAGGGCCTGCAGACAGCCTCCTCGCGAGGCCATCACCGCCGCCATCTGACTTGGAGGAGCACGGCTGAGGCTGACCGGGCCCACCCTCTGGGCGCAGGGCCTGCAGACAGCCTCCTCCCGAGGCCATCACCGCCGCCATCTGACTTGGAGGAGCACGGCTGAGCTCTGGGCGCAGGGCCTGCAGACAGCCTCCTCCTGAGGCTGTTACCGTTCTGGAGACAGGCTTTCTTCCTCCCGCCTCCTCCCAGCGAGGAAGTGCCTGCAGTGTCACCTCTTAAATGACCTTTTAAGGCCTCGCAAACCTGAGCAAAGGAAGGGACGGAGTCAGCACTGATTTCCTAAACTGTTACTCCAAGGGGAGTAATTGCAACCTGCCTTATTTTTCTTCTAGAAAGAAGTAGTAAAGGAATCCCATAAATTGGGAAGGAGGAATACCTTCTTTCTCAAAAGGGGTGAGAACTGTAGTAAAACAGTTAAAATAGCACAAATTAAAGTCGAGTGGAATCTCCTGTAAAATCAAACCAAGACAAACGGTAGTAAATATCACTCTGAAGGAAACAACAACAACAACACCACTGTCTTTCCAGCAATAACACCGATTAATAAAAATTGTATCTATCATCAACAGTATTTGGGTTGAATTTAGTATGTTTTCTTAACTTCACTCTCAAAGGGAAAACGATGTTTTTTTTTTTTCTAAACACGCTGATGCATCCTGAAAAATATAGTTAAGGTGTTACTTCAAAAGCAGGGTCACCCCAACTTGAGACCACATGAAATAGAAAGTATAGTTATTTCTTAATGTTTTTTAGTGTCAGAATGTAAATAGTGTCATATAAATACACAGTGTCATTTCCCAACTTTCCACATGAGACTTCCCTCTGTCCCATTTTTTCCTCTCAGCTGCTCAGGTTGTGTCTCCTTTCTACATGGTCACTCAGTAGTCAGGAAAAGAAAGTAACTTTGACTTTATCCAAGGACAAGTACCATCTTCAGACCTCCGTTGCCAAGACGTGCGTCATCCTTACGGCAGATTCCCGCAAGTCTCCTTGTCAGTTGAAAACCTTCAGAGAGGGGCGCCTGGGTGGCGCAGTCGGTTAAGCGTCCGACTTCAGCCAGGTCACGATCTCGCGCTCCGTGAGTTCGAGCCCCGCGTCGGGCTCTGGGCTGATGGCTCAGAGCCTGGAGCCCGTTTCCGATTCTGTGTCTCCCTCTCTCTCTGCCCCTCCCCCGTTCATGCTCTGTCTCTCTCTGTCCCAAAAATAAATAAACGTTGAAAAAAAAAATTAAAAAAAAAAAAAAAAAGAAGGAAAATCTTCAGAGAGTTGAATCTGCACAGGGGATGCTCGCAGTGAAATCTTCCATCCAATGACTGCTTTGAGATCGCTTGTTTCGTGAGTATGCAGGGCGGTCTTTCCTCTGCATTTTGTGGGCACTTAGGATTCGATTAAATCTCCATGAAACTTTAATAATCTAATTGTCGCTATAATACGGATGTTGGGAGCATGCTTTGGAATCAGAAGCCTGAATGTGAGCCTTACCTCTGCCACGAATTAGCATCTTAGTCGTTTGCTGTGCATCTCAGTGTGTCCATCTGTCAAATGGGGACGTGTGAAGCATTTGCGTTTGCAGCAGTAGTGAAAACCAATAAAGTGCCAATCAGTGTTTACTGAGACAGTGGTTATGAATACTATTTTTAATATGCCGATAACTGATTTGGAGAAGTCAGAAATATTTTCAGGCCTCAGCACTTTCACCTAACGAGGTGTAGGGGTTGGGCTAAGTTGTCAGTAATGCCCTTTAAAAGCTAATAATTCTATGATTCTAAGGCAGGGGATATAGGGTCTGAAAGGTCTGTTACGTAGTTTCTGTTCAGATATTAGGATAGTAAAAGACAGGATAAAATAGGCAGAGAGGGAAAGATTAGGACCTGAGGTCCCTGGGTGGGGAAAGACATATTTTGGAACAGTTCTGGGAGTGTCTGACCACAGCACACTCCCTTGGTTGCAAGGTTCCTCTTAAGAATGTAACAGACCCCACCTACCCACACTCAGGTTCCTGTGAGGAACTTGACAAAAGACCTGACTAAAAATAAGTAGACCGTAAGATGTTGACCCACAGGGAATGGTATGGCCATAGACCACCCCTCATACAATGGAAACGAGCCAATCAGGAATGGACAACCCAACACCTAGAACCATCCAGCCAGTGAGGGTAGGACCTGAGAACGAACCGGGGGAAGGGGAGGGGGTGCTGACCAGAGCCTTGTGAGACAGGGACCCTTGCCTATAGTCACGGGCATTCACTTTCTAATGCCCCCTCTCTATAAAGAGAGCTTTCCTAGTACTCTTACTCTCTGACCTTATACTCTAATAAACTTTCACTTGCTGCTCATTTTGTGTCCACCCCTTTGTTCTTCGAAACGGCAAGACAACGAATCCTGGGTATTGAGGTCAAAAGTCCTGCAACAATATCTACGCAGAGTTCCCAACTCCCACTCTTAAAAATAATACATGATAGAAGTGATGTAAAATAGTGGAATGTGCGTGCAGAGGATTTCGGGAGACACGTGCTTAGCTTACACTCAAGCCAGATAGTGGCCAGCTTTGCCCTTTTGTCAAGTCACACACATGGCGTATGGTCTCCAGTACAGGTGCACTGGAAGCTGTGCCAGCTTACCGTCTTGTGCCAGACAAAAAGTGAACAATATGATGGTTTTAGCAGCTTTCGCAGACCTGTCACGGAGTTCCAGGACTCCCCGTATGCTCCAGACTTGGATATACGCTCTAGCACAGTGAGACTGCGGTCAGCACATCAAATGTTACCCATCAGGCTTAATGTGCAAGACCTAATGCCAATGATCAACTTTACCCCATTCCTCCCAGGAAACCTCTGATTTCCCTCAAACTTAATAAGAGAAAAGAGACGTCCCGGAGAGTCTTTCAGCACTTGGTAGACAAAAATAACAAGGCACAAGTTATGTAACCTTCAGCAAGCTCTTAGGCTAAGTTTACAGCATTTGGTAATCTCTAATTTGCATGTGCTTTCTTTGGATTTTTAAGCCTGTCCGGTTTTGTCTGGTTTTGGAGCATCATCTTTGGAAGGACAGCAAACAGTTCTTTTGAAATTTTGACAAGTGTCACCGACCCACTCGGATGGGTTGGAGCCGCACTTTTACACCTACCTTCGTTTTTCAAACAAAATGCCGGAGTGAAACCTGTAGGGATTTATGAGGAGTGAACTAAAGATTTTCTTTGTCTGTTTCCTTTGACCCAGCTTTTGAGAGCACTAAGTGATGTGGTTAGCTGTGAGTGTGGCTTGGCATCCAGAAAAATGTTTTATACTCTAAAGTGGGCAAAGTCTGACTGTGGTATGATAGAACCCTCAGTGAAATGTATTTTGGCAACATTGTTATTTTTGCAGTGTTTAGTATTGTTTATTGTAGCCTGCTTTTTGGTGGATCTTTTATATTTATGTCTCTGTGTCCTGTGATGGCTTAAACATGTATATCTTTCTTCCTTTGAGATGGCCAAGCAGTTGTGCACTGAAGAGGTACTTCCTGGTGATTCATTCATTAATAAAATACAAAATTCTTTTGTAAACCCTTCTTGGACAAACTGATGAAACTTAAAAAACTGTTTTCCTCTGAATAAAACAACTTTTGTTTGTGTTTAGATATATAGTAAAAAAAACCCTCAGTATTTCATTCCATTTTAAACCAGTTTCCTTGTCCTACTCATTTTATGTGGAACAATTGAATACTCAGAGAAGGGAAATAAACTTATAGGCTTTATAGATCATTTAGTCCATTATAACTTTTTATAAAATCTTAGAATTACTTCGATCATATGAGTTTATCTGGATAAGCATATATCTTTAATAGCTAAAAGTATTCTTAGAGATAGATATCATAAGACTAATTTTTCCAGACCTGTGCGTTGTTCCTTTGAAATCTAAAAGTACGTTGGATGTATTGTCAACAGTATTCACAGCATCAATGTAAGTGCATTCTTGAATAAGATCTTACTTGGTGTCCAGACATCACATGGACCAGTACAAAATAAGAGCAATTTATATCCAAAAGGTCTGCTGCTTTGGGAGTGACAAAATAATATTTTATAAATATATTCCACATATAATTTTTTTAAATAAACACAGATCATCTCAATAAGCTCGATATGTTTTTATTGATTCTTGTCCCATCCAAATGTTTTTGGGGAGCTTCCTGTTTCTCTGTGGGACCTCAGTGTATGGCAGATCTGTCCTGGAGGTTCTGGAAAGTTCATCATCCTCTAGATCCTCGTTTCCATGTGTCTGAACAAAATTAACC